GGGGGCGGGCGGGTGGGCTGCCCTTTCACCTTCCTGTGACGCACCTCGAAGAAGCCAGGTTGCTCTTAGCCTTCAGCTTCCCCACCCTTTTTCAGAAAGGTCGGTTCCCACGGGGAGCGCCTTGGAGTTCTCTGTCCTCGGGGTCTGCTTCCCTCCCACCTGGGGAAGTCCCAGAGGCACTGCTCTGCGGCCAGTGCGTGGACAGTGGCCCGCTTCCCTTGGATTGATGCCCCTGCTTTAGTGCAGGGCACTGGGCAGGGAAGGTGGCCTCTAATGTCAGTGGGTGAGTGTCCCGAGGTGAGCACACTCAGGGGCCATATTCTCCACCAGTCACACCTGGGATGTCCCAGATGAAGGGAGGGAGGGAACCCTGATCTCCTGGTCACTCTTACCTGGAAGAGTTTCTGCAGCATGGCCCTGGGGAGAGTGAGAAATGCGGACAGCCTGGCCCCGAGGTATCGTGGCTCTGGGCTGGGCCCCAGGGGAGGGAGCCTGTCTCACTGGCCACACCTGCCTGGAGTTGTGGCCTAGGTGTTCCAGCCTGAGTTTTTGTTTTTGTTTTTATCCAGACTTAGTAGATTTTCTTGAATCCTTTTTTCTTAATTTGCTGTATGCCCTTGGGTAGTTTTACAGAGCCTTTCCATGGCCGTGCGTTTTTACAGCTAATTTCCACCAGCGGTGGTGGTCTCACTGAGGGGTGGTCTGTGGAGCTGCCGTCACCCTGGGAGTCACCTCCCCATGGGCTCGGCTTGTTTGTTTCACTTCCTCCTGCGCATCCGGAGGAAGACCCCAGGGCACAGGGTAATTGACACCGGGCCTTCCAGCGTCTGCTCTGAATCATTAATCCAACATAGGGACCTGCTGCTCGTTTCTGATTTTCTTCAAATACACTTAATGTTCACAGCCCTCATTGTGCAGGGAGCAGACGGACGTGCTCTGAGCTGCCTGATGGAACTTACTTGGGGATGTAGTGGAGGTAAATTACACACCCCTCCTGCCTTCTCCGGGGAGACTGGAGAGGCTCATCGGGTGACGTGGAGAGAGGGAACGCGGCAGCCACCTCCAAACTGGTGTGGTCGCCGCTGATGCTCTGGGCCCAGCCTGTGAGCAGGCTCGCTGTTCCTGGTGCAGTTTTCCACCCTGGGCCCCCAGAACGAATGTCCTCTCCGCCCCACCCTCCCCTTGGTGAGCCCGACTCAGAAGTGACCTTCTCCTCCAGTCCTGCCGTGACTCCCTGTGAGAGCAGGGTTACTCCTGCCTCTGACTTCCGACTGCACTTAGTGAGGGTTGATAGGACAACATGGGACCCACCACCTGCCGTCCTGAGGTCCTTCATGGAGATGGTCATACAGTGTAGAGACGCACACACACCCCCCGCAAGCCAAGCAAGGACAGTTGAAATGAATTAAAATTGTGAAATTTGTCTCTCCGGTGAGAGGAGCCATCTCTGTTGGCTCAAGATGGAGGTGGTTGGTCAGGGGGTCGTAATCCAATCCAATCCATCTGTGAAGGATGCTGGAGATAAAAATGAGACATGAAAGAAATTCGTTACCGATGTTTAAAAATCGAGAGATCTTACATAAAATTATAGAGTTCTTTTGAAAAATGCGATGATCTGGGAACCCTGAGCTTCCATTCCTGCTTGACAACTTTAGCTGTGAGGTTTCTGATGCCAGCGTCTTCCTGGTGGGTGTCTGCGTGGGGAGCCCCTGTTAGAAGTTCTCTGTGAATGGAGCACTGGGCTGGGATCCAGCCGGCCTGCCGCCTCTTGTCTCCACGTCAGCGTCCCCTTAGCTGATTTCGTCAGGGCTCGTGACCCACCTCCATCCCTCTGATTGGGTCACACTGACCTCTGGTCTAAGTGAAGACCGTCTGCAGCGGCTGGGCTCTCTCCACATGCAGTTATTGATTAAAAAGGAGCTGGAAGCTGGCCCAGGGCGTGGGAGAGTTCACGCTGCAGGGAGGGCCCCTCGGAGAGGCTGCTTTCCCGTAGATTTCCACCCTGCTCTTATCCCAACCTTCAAACAGCATCATTTTTGGAAACCCAAAGACTGTGCTTTCAGCAGAGGTGGCATGGAGGTGTCAAATTAACAACATACCTAAGGTTTTGTTGTACGTCAGGCCCCCTGCTTGAGCTTGTGAGATGAGTGGAATGTAAGCTCTGTCCTCAGGGAGTCCACATGGGAACCGGGGAGGTGAGTGATAAACAGTCGAGAGTTTACACATCGGTGCAGCAGATAGAAATCTCTGACCACAGACTCAGAAGAGAAAGAAGCAGAACTTGCTTTATTTTTCTCTATTACGATTTCTGTTGTGAGCCCCCGCTCATCTTGGGGTGAACACTTAATCTTAGTTCATTCTGAGCCCTGCCTTTCTTTGAAGTGGTGCTGGTGTACCAAGAAGATGACAGGTGCCGAGACCTTGGGAGGTGTATTAGTCAGGGCAGGCTAGGTAATGCTGCCGTAACAAGCAGTCCCGACTCACATTGGCTGGAAACAACAGTGTTTATTTCCAGATTACACTACATGTCCTCAGTGGGCCGGCCGTCACCTGAGGGGCTCTGCTCACAGCAGTCACTCAGGAGCCCAGGGTGATGGAGACGGTGCTGCCTTGAGCCATTGCCATGAGAGAGAAGGTGACATGGGCAGATGTCACCCTGGAAATGAAATACTCAGCCATTAGAGGCGTGTGTCACTTCTGTTCACAACCCACTGCCCAGAAGGAGCCGGTGGCCCCCACACCCCCAGGGTGCAGAAGTGCAGACCTCCCACATGCCCAGAGCAAAGCATCCGGGATGTGGCACCAGTGATGTGACTTGGGGGGGGGAGTGGACCACTTGTCTCCTGGCATTGTCATCTCAGCCCCTTCTCCGTCAAGACATCCCTGCCCCTGTGTTGGGTTTCACATCGTCTGTTGTCTCAGGTCTCCGTCTGTCTGTCTGGGTTAATGTCTCATAGCAGGTGCTCCTTATGGTCAGTCCTGCATCACCCCTCCCTCCCTCCTTGGTCTCAGGAGGCAGAAGCCAGGGAGGAACTGGTGTGGTCCCTCTGAAAGGTCACCACATTCCAGAGAGCACTTCTTGAGCTCCATAAAGTAAGTGTCCATACGAGGGACCTCAGATTGTCTGCAGAAGCAGGTCATGTGCCTGCGTGGGTTATCAGGGTGTGAATCTCAGGTGACGGCGCCAGTGGAAAAGGCATCCGAGTTGGTTAATAATAGTGGAGGTTGTTGTTCAGGGGGTGGCCTCACACATCGGTGCCTCCTTGTTCACATGCACGGCCGCCTCTCCTGTGAGCCTCAGCGCAGCCCGGCAGGAAGGGCTGTTAGCTCCAGTTCCAGGGTGAGAACGTGGTGGCCCAGAGGGGTTCAGCCGGGCCCCTGGGCTGCACCAGGGTGCAGGGTGGGCCTGGGAGCAGAACCAGGTGCTGTTTGGCTCTGCAGCCCAGGCTGTTCCATGCACTGCTTTCTTCATCCTGCTCCCCTCTGTGAGCCTTTTCTTTTCAACAGCACACATGCTCAGCTGGTCTCTGTGGCTCCTGCAGCCTGCTTCAGAGAAAGCAGAGAGCAGGGCCCGCCCTCATCTCAGACAGACCCTTCTGGTCACCGTCCCGGTGGCCTGGCCTCTACCAAACACGGAGGATGGTGCAGGGAAAGGAACGTCAAAGGAGCGTCAGTTTGGGATTGTAGGAGAGATGCGTCAGTTGTGGGTGCAAAGAATCCTTGACTCCTCCACTTAACTTTGGGCAGCAGAGAGACGCCAGCCCCTGACGTGGGCCCCTCTGGTCCCTACTGCCCCTTGCAGAACCCACCAGGAGGGGGCCCTGGGGACGCGGCCTCAGCCCCGTGTGTGCACCTGCTGGGCTGTCCCGGGGCCCGGTGCTCCCACAGCGCCTGCTCCTCCCACCCCCGAAGCTCAGGCTTCCTTTGGGAGGACGGGGGGGGGTGGTTCTTGGTCCTTGATGTCCTCAAGGCCCCTCACCACCTCAAGTCCCCCGTGCCCTTCGCACCCCAAGTGAGCCAGGCAGCGGGGGTTCCCTGCACCGGCCGAGGAAACCGAGGCCCTCAGAGAGTGGGCAGCGGACCCCAGGCGCCCCACCCCTGCTCGCTTCCTGCAGCTCTGGGTCCATCTGAGCGGGAGCCCCCCAGCCAGAGGCTCCAACACCCAGGGGAGGCTCCAGCTTCTGTTAGCTCATGCACGCGGGTGGAGCCCACGAGCGGGGCGGTGGGGTCAGCGGCGAGAGCACGTCCTGGCCTGTCCGCCTCTCCCTGGAAGCCGGTTGGTCCCCTTTGAGGGCCTGGCTGCTGTCTGGTCCAGCCCCTCTGTGATGCAGTCAGACTGTCTTGATATCAAGACAGAGTGTCAGAGATACAACTCTCCAGAAGCTCCTTTTCAAGGGTGTTATTTAAAACCAACACTCAGAGGGCGGGCGTAGAGCTGACTGCGCCCCCAGGGGTCGCAGGAGGGCTGCGGTGTTGGGGCGCCGGGCCTGGAGCCCGGGACAGGCATCCCTCTGGGTCCAGGGGACCTGGGGCAGAGACCGCCCGTGGGCGGGGCAGACTCAGCCGGGGCGCAACGTGCTGCATGTTCCAGTGTGTTTCCCCACCCTATTTTATTTTATTTTATTTTATATATTTTATTTATTTTATTCTGTTCTATTTTATTTTATTCTAGTAATAGGCAAAATGCAGTTTCCTTGTTGAGAGCCCTTTCTCTCCACCACCCTCTGGAGGAGAGGGTCAGTGGGTGGAAAAAGCATCCTTTTCTGTCTCTCCTCCTGGCTCCTGCCCCTCATTGCACAGGGGGCAGGGGGAGGGGCTGCTGCGCTCAGGGCCCTGCATCAGACGGAGCCCTGAGGACGCTGCTCTCCCAGCAGCCAGAAGTGGGTTCCTTTCAGGTACAGAAATCGATTCATAACAGATCTGCCTTAAAAATGCACACTCATGCGCGCATTCTTTGTATATATCGGGTATGAAATGAGTCAGCGAATTAACGATTAATTAGGAGACTGGAGCGAGCTAACAGACGATCCTCTGTAATTTTCTGCAGGTTTTCCTCTTCTGATCTGTATCATTTCAATAGTCTTTGCCATGGACAGTTACGGAGCAAGTAAGAAGTAAGTGAAGGGGTCAATCCCTGTGTTTGGCGGGGGTCCCATGGGAAGCAGCGCTGTGATGGGTCCCCGTGTCTTCCCCTGTTCTTCTGGGGGAGGGTCTGCACAGGGCTGGCATCCTGCAGGCTCGTAGACTGAGAAACACCCCCCTGCTGTGCTCTGGGCACTCTCCCACCTTGGAACTAGCAACGTGGGGCTCAGAGTGCTTGCAGGATGGGGTGGCCGGTTGGAGTCTCTGATCTAAACTTTTCATCCATGTGGTTTCCTAGACACACGGTCTGGTCACCCATGGAGCCCACTTTGGTGACCCTTTAGTCCTTTGTTGGAGTGGTCGGTGGGCAATTCCCTAGCACACAGAAGGTGCCCGTTGAATTACAGCCGAGTTAGTACATGATGGCTCGAGTAAGTGTGGCCCGGGATGCACCAGGCAGGGGGCCCTAAGGTTCTCATTGCTTGGGCAGCAGCAGATGGGACTTTGAGGGGCTCCAGACCTCATGCCGTCATTTTGAAACTGGAGCTGGTGGGTCTGCAGCTGAATCAGGAGGAGGACAGGATGGTGCTGTGCGTCCAGGACAGGTGTTCACATTCCAGAAGCATGATTTCCTCTCCTTCCAAGAGAAAAAGGCTCAGATGTCTTTAGGAAGCTGCCCCCTCTCTTCCGCCAAGCTGAGGAACCACTGAGGGAGAGCACCACGGAGAGTGTTTAGGAGGAGAGAGAGAGAGAGTTAAAAATTTCTCAGCTGAGCTGCTAAACGGGGAGGAAGCTGGCTTTTTGTACTTTAGGGCGACGATTTCCTGAAGATGAAGCACTTAGAGGAAGCACTCTCTGAGCTCATGTTGAAACCAGAATGACTAAACCACCACTGTTCCGGCCCATTCCGTGCACTCCTGCGTGGTTTCCGAAGGCAAGGCGCTCATTAAAGGAAGAAACGTCTCAGACACGTGTCGCTGGCACTTGTTCTGTTTCACTCCATCTGGAGTGTGCAGACGCTGGCCCGCCCCCAGTGCGAGCCTCAGCTCCAGGCCCGTCTCTCACAGAAGCCTCCCTCCTGCTCACGTGCCCGAGAGCAAGGCAGCAGAGGGTCGGGAGGCTCCCCGAGGGCCTGGGGAGCACAGGGGTCTGAAGACCCCCGTCGGCCGGCCGGCCCGCAGGACAGCGCTGGAGAGCCCCGGCTTCCTCTCCGCAGTCGTCGCCCTCGCAGGGAGCCTGGGCTGGAGCCGCATCTCTGCAGGGGAGCCAGCACCAGGCTCCCTGCGTTTTCACTTTAAACGCCGCGTCCTCGGACGGGAGGCTCTTCCCTCCCAGCTCTGGGCTCTGGACGTGAACCAGCCTCTTACAGGGGCTGTGACCTGTTTGGGGCATTCAGTGTCTCCTGGTCCAGGAGGTCTCGGGGGAGGACCGGGGGCAGAAAGGCGGGGCCCAGGCGCGTGGACTTGGGTCCCCTAACCTCCCTGGGCCTCAGCTTCCCCCTGTGCAGGGCGGGTGTCGTCACAGCGCCTCCCAGGGGGCACCGTGAGGTTACGGGAGGCCATGCAGCCCCTGGGTTGCTGTGCTGTGGGCGGGCGGGGGCTCAGTGGGCCGGCTTGAGTGAGTGAACGGGGCGGCCCCACAGGGACGGCCACGTCCTGTGTTGGTGACGGCGTGCCTGCGCCGGG